GAAGATTGATGAGAGGAGATCATGCTGCTAGTGAAGGTTCTTTATTATATCATGATGGAGGTTCTATCCAAGCCAAGAACAACAAAGGTACAAAATCACGAGTATTTTCTGTTTGTCCTTATTGCAAGAAAAATAATCACACACCCAACAAGTGTTGGTGGAGACCTGATGTGAAATGTCACAAATGTGGTCAATTGGGACATACAGAAAAGATATGCAAATCACAACCAGAGGAAGTCGTTCAAGTTATAGAGGATAGAGAATAAGAGGTACTTCTCCTTGCATCAACATGCTCTACAATCAACAAATCCACAGGTTGGTTAATAGACAGTGGTTGTACAAACCACATGACTCATGATCGAAAATTTTTCAAAGAGTTCAACGAATCACATATTTCTAAAGTGAGAATTGGTAATGGAGAAGAAATGAATGTGAAAGGTACAGGAACAATTGCAGTTAAAAGTCATTCGGGTATCAAATTGATTATTGATGTTTTATATGTTCCTGATATAAATCATAATTTGTTAAGTGTTGCTCAATTATTGGAGAAAAGTTATAAGGTGTCTTTTGAACACAAACTTTGTGTGATTAAAGATACAAATAACTTAGAAATATTCAAAGTTCACATGAAAGGAAAAAGTTTCACTTTATATTTGATGAAAGAAGAGATGATTACAAATGAAGATATAAAAGAAAAGTCAAAGAAAAAACATGAAGAAGATTTCTTGAAGGAATTTCATGTTAAGGAGGAAAATAAATATGTAGATGAAGAAACCGCTTTTAACGTCCATCAAAGAGTCAACGAGTACTACCATGAAGTTTGAAAGAAACAAAGGAGATGAAGTTGATAAAGGAAGAAATATGTTGATGAAGAAAGTGAAGAATGAAGATATGATCTCTTACAAGAAAGAAGATAACAAGAAGTATAAACAAAAAAGGAGGAAAAAATATATCAAATTCAAATAAATAGATATTAAAGTAAGGAGGAATGTTGGAAATATTACTTTATTATCTTTTATTTAAATTAGGTATTAAGAAAATTTATTATCTTTTAAGAGAGAATGTAAAAAGACATTAGGTTATTATTTTGATTTAGGTCTGTTATGATTGAGATATTATGAATATTTAATATTTTGTAATATTTTTACTCTATATATACATAGAGTACATGAATAGAAATATACACACATGATATATCAGAAATACATATACACATAACCCTTAAAAAAACCCAACAAATTAGTATCTGAGCTTTGGTTTGACACAATGGAAGGAGAAAGAAACTTTTCACAAGTTGCTATTCCAGTTTTTGGTGGCGAAAGTTATGACTTATGGGATGTGAGAATGCAATCCTATCTTGAAGGATTGGATGTATGGGAAGCTGTAGAAGAAGATTATATTGTTGATCCACTACCTGAAAATCCCACTATAGCTCAAATGAAATCTCACAGAGAAAGAAAAATGATAAAGGCAAAAGCTAAATCATGTCTGTTTGCTGGTGTTTCACAAATGATCCTCACCAGAATCATGACGCTAAAGTCACCCAAAGAAATTTGGGATTATTTGAAAGATCAATATGAAGGAGATGAGAAAATTCGAGGTATGAAAGTTCTAAACTTGATAAGGGAATTTGAGATACAAAAGATGCAAGAGTCTCAGACAATTAATGAATACTCAAACAAATTGTTAGGTATTGCTAACAAAATAAAATTGTTAGGCAAAGAATTTTCTGATTCTAGAATAGTTAAAAAAATTCTGGTAACTGTGCCAGAGAGATATGAAGCATCAATTGTTTCATTGGAAAACACAAAAGATTTGTCTAATATTACTTTGGCAGAAGTGTTACATGCTTTACAAGCACAAGAGCAACGAAGATTGATAAGAGGAGATCATGCTACTAGTGAAGGTTCTTTATTATATCATGATGGAGGTTCTGTCCAAGCCAAGAACAACAAAGGTACAAAATCACGAGTATTTTCTCGTTTGTCCTTATTGCAAGAAAAATAATCACACACCCAACAAGTGTTGGTGGAGACTCGATGTGAAATGTCACAAATATGGTCAATTGGGACATACGGAAAAGATATGCAAATCACAACCAGAGGAAGTCGTTCAAGTTATAGAGGATAGAGAAGAAGAGGTACTTCTCCTTGCATCAACATGCTCTACAATCAACAAATCCACAGGTTGGTTAATAGACAGTGGTTGTACAAACCACATGACTCATGATCGAAAATTTTTCAAAGAGTTCAACGAATCACATATTTCTAAAGTGAGAATTGGTAATGGAGAAGAAATGAATGTGAAAGGTACAGGAACAATTGCAGTTAAAAGTCATTCGGGTATCAAATTGATTATTGATGTTTTATATGTTCCTGATATAAATCATAATTTGTTAAGTGTTGCTCAATTATTGGAGAAAAGTTATAAGGTGTCTTTTGAACACAAACTTTGTGTGATTAAAGATACAAATAACTTAGAAATATTCAAAGTTCACATGAAAGGAAAAAGTTTCACTTTATATTTGATGAAAGAAGAGATGATTACAAATGAAGATATAAAAGAAAAGTCAAAGAAAAAACATGAAGAAGATTTCTTGAAGGAATTTCATGTTAAGGAGGAAAATAAATATGTAGATGAAGAAACCGTTTTTAACGTCCATCAAAGAGTCAACAAGTACTACCATGAAGTTTGAAAGAAACAAAGGAGATGAAGTTGATAAAGGAAGAAATATGTTGATGAAGAAAGTGAAGAATGAAGATATGATCTCTTACAAGAAAGAAGATAACAAGAAGTATAAACAAAAAAGGAGGAAAAAATATATCAAATTCAAATAAATAGATATTAAAGTAAGGAGGAATGTTGGAAATATTACTTTATTATCTTTTATTTAAATTAGGTATTAAGAAAATTTATTATCTTTTAAGAGAGAATGTAAAAAGACATTAGGTTATTATTTTGATTTAGGTCTGTTATGATTGAGATATTATGAATATTTAATATTTTGTAATATTTTTACTCTATATATACATAGAGTACATGAATAGAAATATACACACATGATATATCAGAAATACATATACACATAACCCTTAAAAAAACCCAACAAATTAGTATCTGAGCTTTGGTTTGACACAATGGAAGGAGAAAGAAACTTTTCACAAGTTGCTATTCCAGTTTTTGGTGGCGAAAGTTATGACTTATGGGATGTGAGAATGCAATCCTATCTTGAAGGATTGGATGTATGGGAAGCTGTAGAAGAAGATTATATTGTTGATCCACTACCCGAAAATCCCACTATAGCTCAAATGAAATCTCACGAGAGAAAGAAAAATGATAAAGGCAAAAGCTAAATCATGTCTCGTTTGTCGGTGTTTCACAAATGATCCTCACCGGAATCATGATGCTAAAGTCACCCAAAGAAATTTGGGATTATTTGAAAGATCAATATGAAGGAGATGAGAAAATTCGAGGTATGAAAGTTCTAAACTTGATAAGGGAATTTGAGATACAAAAGATGCAAGAGTCTCGGACAATTAATGAATACTCAAACAAATTGTTAGGTATTGCTAACAAAATAAAATTGTTAGGCAAAGAATTTTCCGATTCTAGAATAGTTAAAAAAATTCTAGTAATCGTGCCGGAGAGATATGAAGCATCAATTGTTTCATTGGAAAACACAAAAGATTTGTCTAATATTACTTTGGCAGAAGTGTTACATGCTTTACAAGCACAAGAGCAACGAAGATTGATAAGAGGAGATCATGCTACTAGTGAAGGTTCTTTATTATATCATGATGGAGGTTCTGTCCAAGCCAAGAACAACAAAGGTACAAAATCACGAGTATTTTCTGTTTGTCCTTATTGCAAGAAAAATAATCACACACCCAACAAGTGTTGGTGGAGACCTGATGTGAAATGTCACAAATATGGTCAATTGGGACATACAGAAAAGATATGCAAATCACAACCAGAGGAAGTCGTTCAAGTTATAGAGGATAGAGAAGAAGAGGTACTTCTCCTTGCATCAACATGCTCTACAATCAACAAATCCACAGGTTGGTTAATAGACAGTGGTTGTACAAACCACATGACTCATGATCGAAAATTTTTCAAAGAGTTCAACGAATCACATATTTCTAAAGTGAGAATTGGTAATGGAGAAGAAATGAATGTGAAAGGTACAGGAACAATTGCGGTTAAAAGTCATTCGGGTATCAAATTGATTATTGATGTTTTATATGTTCCCGATATAAATCATAATTTGTTAAGTGTTGCTCAATTATTGGAGAAAAGTTATAAGGTGTCTTTTGAACACAAACTTTGTGTGATTAAAGATACAAATAACTTAGAAATATTCAAAGTTCACATGAAAGGAAAAAGTTTCACTTTATATTTGATGAAAGAAGAGATGATTACAAATGAAGATATAAAAGAAAAGTCAAAGAAAAAACATGAAGAAGATTTCTTGAAGGAATTTCATGTTAAGGAGGAAAATAAATATGTAGATGAAGAAACCGTTTTTAACGTCCATCAAAGAGTCAACAAGTACTACCATGAAGTTTGAAAGAAACAAAGGAGATGAAGTTGATAAAGGAAGAAATATGTTGATGAAGAAAGTGAAGAATGAAGATATGATCTCTTACAAGAAAGAAGATAACAAGAAGTATAAACAAAAAAGGAGGAAAAAATATATCAAATTCAAATAAATAGATATTAAAGTAAGGAGGAATGTTGGAAATATTACTTTATTATCTTTTATTTAAATTAGGTATTAAGAAAATTTATTATCTTTTAAGAGAGAATGTAAAAAGACATTAGGTTATTATTTTGATTTAGGTCTGTTATGATTGAGATATTATGAATATTTAATATTTTGTAATATTTTTACTCTATATATACATAGAGTACATGAATAGAAATATACACACATGATATATCAGAAATACATATACACATAACCCTTCAAAAACCCAACAAAAAGTTCCCAGTCATGGAAAATGAGGTACAATATAGCTCTAGACTTGGCATCAGCATTGCTTTACCTTCAGGAAGAATGGGAAAAATGTGTGCTTCACAGGGACATCAAATCAAGCAACATCATGCTGGACTCCAACTTCAATCCTAAGCTTGGGGACTTTGGCCTGGCAAGGCTGGTGGATCATGATAAAGGGTCAGAAACCACAGATGTGGCTGGGACCATGGGTTGCCTAGCTCCTGAGTGTATGAACATAGGCCAGGCTCGAAAGGAATCTGATATATTCAGTTTTGGGATTGTTGTGTTGGAGATAGCCACGGGAAGAAAAGCCATTCACCACAAACACATGGAAGGTGAAGTATCAGTGGTTGAGTGGGTGTGGGAGCTTTATGGATTAAGGAATCTCCTTGCAGCAGTGGATCCAAAGCTGCATGGGGAATTTGATGCGCAGCAAATGGAGTGCTTACTGGTTGTTGGTCTTTGGTGTGCTAATCCAGATTCTGCAGCCAGACCCCCTGTGTAAGGCAAGTGAACAAGGTGCTTAAGGGTGAAACTTCTTTACCAATTCTCCCACAACAGATCCCATGCAAGAGATGCAAGCCTATTTCTCTTCAATAAAATGGGTTGGGATTTTTTTTTCAAATATGATAGTATAAATTATATATTATTTGGTTAAAATTAATAAAATTATAAAATATTCATTTTCCTAATAACCTAATTAGGTATCATTTTATTTCTTATAAATATGTTGTATATATTTTATTTTATATTTGAGAATGCATATATTTCATTTCAATTTTTTCAATTGTTATTCGTGAAAATCGTTTACATCTTAAATCTTTTGAAACGTTCGAATAGAGGAAAAAAAATTGATATATCTAAAATAAAATTAGTTGTTTCTATTGGTCAAACTTGAAAAAAATTTCAATCGTTTTTCAAGAACATTATTTTGATAGAAAAAGACACAAATGTCAGAATTAAACGATAGAAAGAAGATACAAATGTCAAAATTAAAAATTGAGGTGTTTCCTGTTAAATAAAATAAAAAGTATTTACGCTAAAAATATTATGAGTAATTTTGATAATATTATTAATGTTTTTGATGATATATAAACTAGTGATATAGAATTAAAATCAAACTTAAATGATTGGAGATGAATATTTAAATTATATAGTACTTTAAATCTTAATTCTATCTTTTTCTTTTTAAAAAAAAATTATTTGTTTCTCAAATAACAACTGAAAGACATCAAAACAAAATAACAATTGGTTACAATACTTACAGATAAAACTTATATTATCCAAATATGTTAAAAGAATTACGTTTTGGTCATATCTCATTTACGTATTTAAACAAATTATTGATACTTTATTTTAAAAATATAATATTTCTAGGGTTAATTGTAATATTTGTGAACTAACAAAGCTCATAGAACTTTATATCCCATAATTTTAAATAAAACTCTTAAACTTTTATGATGATATATTTTGATGTGTAAGGGCTATCTAAAATTTAAATTAGGTGAATTCCATGATTTGTTATTTTTATTAATAATTTTACAAAAATAACTTGGTTATAATTACTGAAATAAAAAATGAAGTTTATTTTTTTAAAACTTTTATAAAATAGTGATAACTTAATATAATCTTCAAATTTAAGTTTTACATCGTCATAATGGTAAAGAATATAAAAATTATGAACTTCAATACTATTTAAAAGTTAATTTGTTCAAATACAACTCAACAAAATGAGTTGCTAAAAAAAATTTACATTTATTTAATGTTGCTCGTACTTCATTGATTAAGAAATACATATCATTATATTATTGAGAAGACACACCTACTTTAGTAATATATTTAATAAATCAAATTCTCATAAGTTTTATTGAGTTTAAGACACCTTAAAAAAATCCTATAATTTAACTATCACTCAAATAGTTTATAATTTATCCTGTCATGTATTTGGATGTGTTACATTTGTTCATCTTCGTAAGGAGTAACACAACAAGTTGATCTCAAAGGTTATTTAATGTATTTTGTTGGATATGTTGAACATAAAAAGAGATATAAATGTTACCATTCTTCTACTAATCACATGCATATAGAAATAGATGTGATTTTTCATGAAAACACAATGTATTTTTCTTCTAAATTAGAACAAAAAATTCTAGGAAATTTAAACTCTAAAGTATAAAATCCAAATTCTAGAGTATAATTTGAATTTAAGTGATGCAATTTTATATCATGACCCTTTAGGATAGAATAGAAAAAACTAATATTGGATCATCACAAATATCTTGCAGAGTAGACATTGAAGTTCCATATGAATCTTTTGCTAAAAATAGCACTGAAGTTTCACACAAATTTCTTGATGGATATAACATTGAAATTTCATATGAACCTCTTAATGAAAATGTTACAAATTATTTCTTGGCTAGAAAGTAATTGTGAAATCATCTCATTAGAGGTATTCCTAAACTTATTTATAAATATTAACTCTTTACTAAAGCTAAATATTATATTAATCATCATCTATCAAATCATAAACTGTAAAAAACAAATAAAATATTTATGAGTAAGTTTTGTTATAGTTCCATTAAAAACGAAACCAATAGGGTGTTGATGAATTTATACTATTAAAGTAATTTGATGTAAAAATTGTAGATTCATATGAAGAATTAACAAAAGACGTGTGTACATGGAACATCCTCTAGTTTCTATGACATTAAAAAAATATATATAGAAAAAAGTATGCAAATTAAAAAAAAATTTGTATGGGTTTGAAACAAACCATAAGGTTCAAATTGTTTACAGAATTTATGATTAACATTGGAATATAACTAATGTACCGCAGACCATACTCTATTTTTTAAGAAACAAGAAGGTAATAAGTTAACTACACTTATTTTATCACCCAGAGAAAAGTAAAATGTTACAATAATATTTATTAAAAAGAGATAAAAAATGAAGGTTTTGATCCCTTGAAATATGTTGAATAGATTAAGGAATTTACATCATTAAAGAATTTTTTTCTAAAAAACATATGTCCTAAATTTATTAAAAAAACACGTATGACAGTTTAGGAGCTAATCAATATATAAATTGAAAGTTTGAACTTATCTATTACATCAAATTATATCTCAATTGATAAATAAATACATAAAAACTCTTATAAAAATATTGATGTATTTAACACAAATATATCAACACTTAGAAAATGATTATTATTCGTTAAAAATACAAATTATCAATAATATATATATATATATATATATATATATATATATATATTAATTATTGTTAATTAGACTAGTGATAAACCATCAAATCAAATTTAATTTAATAATAAATTTTGTTACATAAAGAAAGACCAAAACATGATCTTTAATTTAAGTGTAAAACCCGAATTTAAAGTTTTAACCCTTAAAATTTACGAAGATTAATTAAAATTCATCTTATAAGATTTGATATACTAAGTCCTACGATCTATTAAATTATACAACGATAATACAACTATGGTATCGTACATAATCTAGTTCATCATAATTAATAAAACATAACCATGATCTCGGTCAAAACTGAAGACTATGTAATTCAAACTTAGAAATTGTGAAAAAAAAAACTTAATTTAATTTGAGTTTATGACAAAAATATAATATTAATACACTTTCGTTTATATTTCTACAGATCAGAAAATAAAAACATTTAACTCAAACTTCAAGAAGAAAAGAAACATACAAAAGACAAAAAAAAAATAACAATTCAATAGACAAAACTTAATCTTAAACAACTTCAACATAAAAAAAAATATAATAAAATTATGTACCTTAAGGACCGGAGTAAAGTTAAAAAGTACAATTAGAAAGACTTCCAAATTCCACATGATATCATATGATCGAATGTTATATCATTATGATATCATATGATCGAATGTTATATCATTATATGTCAATAAGTAACTTTTTTAATCTACAAATTAATACTTAAAATATAATGTCCAGAAATTAAAATAGTCACTGAGACCTTATATATAAGAATTGTCAAATTATTTCATCTAAACAAATCAACAAAAAAATCTTTTTGATTCTTATTCAAAACTCTTTCTATAACTTTTTGAAGAGGTTATAAATTGAAGATGGGTTATATTTTTTTTATATGAATATCATTTTATTTAATATTTTTAAAATTAAATTGATCGTGAATACATGAATTTAGGATTTAAATATTTAATTAAGATTTAATCACATCAATCAAATTTAATAAAATAATATTTAAATAATATAATAAATTAATCTATAACAATATTTTTTTATAAAAGGAAAAAAATGATAATTTTTTTGTTATAATCATTGTAAATAATACTACAATTGTCAAATATATTAAAGAGTGTAAGATAAATAACTCTTAAAATAAAATAAAAACATAATAAAATAACTATTATTTTAAATTGATAATTAATATAAAATAATAAAAATACAAAATTATATTATATATTTTATAATAAAATTATATTAAAAAAATTGATCTTTTTTTTTGTTATTAAAATCGAATCAACCCAAAAACTGATTTAATTAAAAACCCAAAAACTGATTTAATTAAAATTTAATTATTTAGAACCGGTTTAATTATATGTTTTATTTTGATTAGACCGGTTGAACCGGTCTAATCTTATTTTCAAAACGATAGTTGGTTTAGTTAAACCAAGAGTAATATTAATTCTCCTAAACGATAGCTGTATTAGTTAAACCAAGAGTAATATTAATTCTCCTATAATAATCTAACAAAAATTGGAAAAAGGTATTATAAAAATGAGAAATTTATAAATTATTGTTTTAACATAATAATTTGAGAGAAAGAATGAAAATATGTTATTTATTTAAACAAAAATCCTGATCCTAACTCATTTTATATATACTTTAGATTTTTTTTACCCATTTATTAGTAAAAAAATAATTTGTGTGAGTAAAAAAATAAATTTTAGTGTTATATTTTTATTATTATTGTAGAAATAGACGACAAAATATCATTATCTATGAAAAATTGACATGTCTAAAAAAAAAACATGATGGAAAAACAGTTATTAAAATAGTGCATGTTCTCTGCAAAATTCTTTTCTATTATATTTTAAACCATTTTATGCATTAATAAAACAAGACATGTGTCTTTTGTTTCATGAATAATTCCGCTAACTAGCAGAGCCAAGTTTGTACGTAATTAATTGCAATATTCCATCACTTCGAATATTGCCGTTTGCGCTTGCAGTGACAGCCGCAGCACAACACGGTGGTTGTGACCCAGCTCCTTTGTTATGCTTTGTGAGTCCTATGTCCTCATAGGAACATTCATCACAATGTTGAGGATTGAGACAAATAGCATTAACCTTATCCAAAAATGAGAATACATATAATTAAATCACACAACTTACAATGCGTGAGACTTCAAAAATGATTAAACTCAACTCTCACTCAACAATGGCTGGTTGTGGATTCATTTTGTTGATCCTAACCATCCCCATTGCAATTTCAAATGCTCAGATTCAGTCTTTTGAGTACCCCAACTTCAGTTCAACTTATATAAAGCAGCTTATGCTGGAAGGTAATGCTTCTACAGCAGGTTCTGCTATCAAACTCACAGTGAACGCAACGGACCCAAGCAACATGTTCGGGACCGCAGGACGAGTCACGCATCCTGTGCAGATAAACCTTAGGGACAAGAATTCAAATGAACCAAGAGACTTCGTTACCAACTTTTCCTTTGCTGTTTCCTCAAATAAGAGTTCTTATGGAGATGGTTTGGCATTCTTTCTTGCAAGCCCAAATCTGCCATCCACAAATGATATGGTACAACTAAGAGGAGGAAGTCTTGGCATTGGCCTTACGGATGGTCGGCAAGAGCTTCACCCGAGAGGTTATCAATTTGTGGCAGTGGAGTTTGACACATACACAAACCCCTGGGACCCAGTTGGCGCACATGTAGGTATAAATATCAATGACATGAACTCTAAAATACATGAGACATGGTGGATGAATATTACACAAGATGAAGTTAATTGTAACTGTAGTATTGTATACGATTCTAGAAACAATATTTTGAATGTCTATTTCACTGGGTACATATTCATTGATGGAAAGGTAACGCAGACTACACAGCATCTTTCATTCCCCATTAATATAACACAACAATTACCAGACTCGGTTATTATTGGCATATCAGCTGCAACAGGAAAATATTATGAGGAACATACACTGCTCTCATGGTCATTTAGCGCAACCCCATCAACTAAGGACGACCCAAAGAAGGAAAGAAAGGTTATCATCATAAAAATGTTGGAGGGAATAGGAATTGGTGCTGGTTTGTTTTTTATTATGTTCGGGTTGGTCCACATTTTATTATGGAGGATGGCCAAGGGGAGAGAAGTAGATCACACTTCAGAAGCCATTTCTGATACAAATATGGATGATGAATTCCAAATGAGCTCTGGACCTAAGAAGATTAGTTATCATGAATTGGCAACTGCAACCAACAACTTTGAAGAGACGCAGAAGCTTGGCCAAGGAGGGTTCGGTGGTGTTTATAAAGGCTATTTCAAAGACTCCAACACCTATGCTGCTATAAAGAGGATATCAGCAGATTCTAAGCAGGGTGTAAAACAATACACAGCAGAAGTGATGATCATTAGCCAATTGAGGCACAAGAATTTGGTGAAACTCACTGGTTGGTGCCATAAGAAGAATGATTTTCTCTTGATATACGAGTACATGGAAAATGGCAGCTTAGACTCTCACCTTTTTCGAGGAGAAAGTATATTGTCATGGGAGGTGAGGTACAGCATAGCCTTAGGTTTGGCCTCAGCATTGCTTTACCTACAAGAAGAATGCGAAAAATGTGTGCTTCATAGGGACATCAAATCAAGCAACATAATGTTGGACTCCAACTTCAATCCTAAGCTTGGGGACTTTGGCCTTGCTAGGCTGGTGGATCATGATAAAGGGTCTGAAACCACAGACGTGGCTGGGACAATGGGTTACCTAGCTCCTGAGTACATGAACACAGGCCAGGCTCGAAAGGAATCTGACATATTCAGTTTTGGGGTTGTTGTGTTGGAGATAGCCACAGGAAGAAAAGCCATTCACCACAAACACATGGAGGGTGAAGTATCAGTGGTTGAGTGGGTGTGGGGGCTCTATGGATTGAGGAATCTGCTTGCAGCAGTAGATCCAAACCTGCATGGGGAATTTGATGAGCAGCAAATGGAGTGCTTACTGATTGTTGGTCTTTGGTGTGCTAATCCAGATTCTGCATCCAGACCCCCTGTAAGGCAAGTGATTAACGTCCTTAACTCTGAAGCCTCTTTACCAATTCTCCCACAACAGATCCCAGTGCAGGGCTGTTTATGAAGCATTGTGTCTACTGGGTACATCCAAAAACATTTTTTAACGAAAAATTAGATACCAAATTTTTACTAATATTGGTATATTTTGGTACATATCAGATCTGTGTGAAAAAATAGGGTTTTCATCCATCCATTTGGCTATTTGCTCTGGTTCATGAATCACAAACTCGATTGGCAACACATACAAATTATTGTTTTATTATATCATACTCATGCTTAAGTGTTGTAATCTTTGTTGAACATTTAAGTATTTGTAGTTTTTCATCACAATATAAGACATTTTGTTTTGTTAGGTTGAAGAATGTAATCACATTTTATATTATAAAATAAAATATACTCATTTGTGTTCTTTCATCATTTATAAAATTTAGTAATGTTTATTAAATTCAATTTTATATATGTTCATGCTTTTAAATTTTTATAAACATACCTATATATCATATTTAGAAAATCATTCTTTTACAACAGATTTCACACAATCATCTCATGCAGAATTACGAGATGAGAGAAACGTGAAATTATAAATATTTTATTATTATTATATTGATTGTTTATATATCATTATCTCTTCTATTTTCTGAAAAACTCTCGTATATATTCATAATGTACTCATATGAAATCAATTGTTTCTTATAGTTTCATCTCCTTTAAAAGCTGCAAGTTAATTGGTTTTCAAACAATGTTAACCAAACATCATTCTATACACATATTATTTTGCTTCATAAATATTACATTTTGGTTATGTCCTTTTAAGTTTTTTCAAGTAATATGCACAACTATAAGCATTTGAGAGGCTGGTTAACTAATCAATGTATAATTACGTAAGTCAACAATATTTCAGTACTGTCTCCATCCATCTTTGAAGTGACTCAGCCACTGTCAAGTCTCAGAAGAAGAATGAGCGTTGATACATTCAAAACCCCTACTCCCACATAATAATCTTAAACAATATTAATATTATAATAAATAATATTTTTATATTAATAAATTTGGTGCTTAAACGGGATTTTTTTAAATCATGGATATCAAAATATAATTTTCGAGACAAAAGAATTTAAAAAGAAGGCCTCACAAAAATAGCAAATAAAGACAATATGTATTGATTTGTTTGTAATACCTTTATATATATATATATATATATATATATATATATATATATATATATATATATATATATATAATGTTTTTATTACTAATAAAAGTAAAAAATATTGAGTATTGAGTTCTGTTTTAAAAATTGGATCCTTTATTCAATATTATGGATATATTGATTCATTATTTCTAAATAATTAAATTTTAATTTAATCGGAATATAATCGAAAAAATAGACTGAATTTTTTGGTAAAATAAAAAATTAAAGATCAATTTTTTAATATAATTTTTTTATAAAAAATATAATATATTTTAATTTTTTTCTCATTTTAGTTATGTTAATTTTAAATAACAGTTATTTTATTATATTTTCATAATTATCTATTTTATAATTTAAATATATTTTCTATTTATAATCTTTATTATAATAATGATAAGTATTGTCTATTTAAATCTTTCATCTAGACGTTTTGGTGGATTGAAAGAGAAATGTGTATTTAAATTACTATTGGTCTCGATTATTAAGTAATGTGTAACTTATGAATGAACCCAAAGAATAATCTTTATTATTTTTCTTTATTTTATAAAAAAAGTATTATAAAATAATTATTTTATTAAATCTAATTGAACTTTAACCCTAAATTCATATTTTCACGATAAAACTTTTCATCTATTCGGACATAATATATATGGAAAAATCCTATAAACATGTATATAACTTAAAGAACATGTTATCTCTTCATTATGGATAAATAGTGGTAACACATACAAATATTGTCATGGAGTAAAGTTATATTTTGCAACAATAATAAAAAATCACAAGAATATCTTCTAATATCTATAGAGAGAGCAATTGTATTTGTAATGCATTTAAGCACTTTAAGAAAAAAACAAAAAATATACAAACTTTTAAGTTAAAATTTTGATCAAACCCATAAAAATTCTAATATTTATTTTCAACACCACAAGAACAATTTATTTTAAACCAGAATGATTCGTACTTATGTTTATTATGATAGCAAGATCGTGATTTTTAAACTTTAATCCATTATGTTTTATTTTTAAAAAAATATTTCGGTAAGCTGAAAAAGATGATGTATATAGATTCATAAATCATATAGCACTCATGAATATATTAAAATAATATTTTATAAAAAATGAAAATATGTACTTACTATCAACCAGTGAAAAATAAAATAAAAAATATAAATAAAAGAGAAACCGTGCAAAATTGATTTATCTAAACGTAAACTTCCAATTACTAATAATAACAATAACATCGTGTTGATAACATACTTTCTAATTTTCAGCCCGATTCCAACGATAAATGAAATCGGGATTACAATTTTCCGAAAACTAATACTATCATAGAAAATCCTTATCCACTTAAATTAACTTGATAAATTTTAATTTTTTAAACACATAATTTAAAGTTAATTTTAACATGATCTATTAATGAAACAAGTTACGATAACCTAGTAGTTGTAGATTTCTATGTTGAGAAATTACAATTATTATATCGTTATTCGTTATATTGGTTAATGATTATTAAATCAAATTTATTATCAGGAGAATGTAAGCTTGACCTATTTCACTATTTTTACGTATTATTGTAATTGAAATATCATTCGAACTAGGAAACGTAATGCATGATTTGCTTACTTTTTTATATAATAGTAAATATTCATTTATATTAGTTCTTACTTAATCATATTTAAATTAATTATTAATTTTCTATTTATTTCTTTGTTATATTATTTTTTTAATTAAAAAAATGTTTTCATTCTTTCATTTTTCTCCTCCGCGCGTCTTCCACTTCTAAATTCAAACAATTATTTAATCTATCACTAGTTTTGGCTTTTCACACAAATAAATATATCTACTTCAAAATCATCATCATCAATATGTTATTGATAATCACTTCAACTAAGAATATTTTTAAAGAAAGTAGTTTATAGAAATTTATAAATTTTTTATAAATAAAATATATTATTTTGATATAGACACTACAGTTCGAATTATTTAAAAATAGATGATATAAAAATAGATGATAGTTATAACTTTGACATGTTTTTAAATAATTTTGATCATAAATTTTGTATCAAAATAATATATTTTATTCTTGAAAACTCTTTTAAACAATTTATAAATATGTATCATTACAATGTAAGTGTATCATGTTTTTTTTTTTAATATAGAGTTTAGAGTTGTTCTATATAATCTTTTAAGTTTTTGTTTAAGAAATTAAATAAAATAAAGCGTCTTTATTTGTTTTATGAGTGATTTTATTTCGTTAAAATCAAAATCTTCATTTAAAATTTTGTTTAAATGTCTCAATAAATTAAGAAAATATATTAATAAAATATTTTTAAACTCAACTCCTATATAATATCAAACTTCATTAGCGTAGGAGAAGAATATATGTTATAATTTATTTGTAAATAAATATATTTATTCTTTTTTTACGAAAAATAAATAAATATCTTGATGATAGACTTTACAGTAAATTAAGGATATGAAAGAAAATTAAAAATTATATCTTTAAAAATGATATTATATGTTTATAATTTTTTATTAATTTTTTTTATAATTAAGACAGAAATGTCTTCGTTTTTAAATAATCAGAATATAAGATAGTAAAACAAAAATGAGCAAAAGGAATATTTTAGTAATAACTTTTTTCTCATGAATGTTGTCACATTTGAAATAAAAAAAATTAAAAATAGTGTAAGATCATAGTATATTTTTCTTTGTCAAATGAGGAGATATATATTTTAATACAAAGTCAAATAATAATAATCCATTTTGACTTAGACGTAATAAGAAAAAAAGGTAATATTATTGAACTTAAATATAAGGAAATTTCAATTCCTTAACTTATATAATGTTACTATTTCAAAAATATCTTTAAATCTAAACATCATTGTAATTAATAAATATAATTTGAGAATAGTCTAAGAAAAATATTTCTTTATTATATGAAAATAAAAATATTAAATAAATTTAGTTAGTATTCTTAGTGTGAAAGTAAGCAAATTTTTGCTTATAATTGTTTATAATATAGTTTATTTTTATTTTATTTTTTAATAAATAATCTTATATTAAGAGAAAACAATAATATTTCAAGAATAGTTCAGTTAACAAGTTCAACTAAGGCTTTGTTTGGTTGGAGTGATTTGAGAGAGTGGAAATGAGAGAGTGGAAAAGGAGGGATTTGAAGAGAAATGGAGATGAATGAAATGTTTATGGGAAATTGTGAATGATTTGATTGATATGAGATATAAAAATTATAATTTTATGTTGATTATTTAAGAAAATTACCATTTTACCCTTTGTATAAAATAATGTTCAAATGATTATAAATATAAATTTTTAATTAATTATCCATATTTTAACATTGATTATATATTTAAAAGAAAAAACAAAATTAAAAGTGTTTGTAATTGGAAACAAATTTAAAAAATTAACTTTTTTTAGATAGTTATTAAAAATTATATAAATAAACAATTACAAAATTATGTACATTGCATATCCATATTCAAATAATGTTGACATATTAAATAAATTATTTGACTAATAATTAAATAATTATAAAATATAAAATAATAATTAATATTGACTGATAGTAACAAATAATTATGAAAACTAATAATATAATTGTACATTATTATTTAAAACAAATATAAAATACAGTGAAAATAGAATAATAATTAAATGAAACATTACTAAAATTTTAAACCTATGCACACTAATGTTCTTCAAACAAATAATTATAATGTTATTCATCTTTTGCGATCAAGTCCTCCAGTTCAGATCATTCAATCACTTCCACTCAAGAACATGAACAACTGGGAGAGACGAAGATGTCCCATATATCTGACTCCGAATGTTGAAATGTTTATGATCGTCTCATCACATTAACTTGAGATAAAATAATTACAATATAATTTTCTACTTTGAGAATTAATAATATAATTAAACATCAAAATTGAGAATACTCTTATACATTTTGAACTCTTTTGGATAAATTTTGTTTCCCTAATTTTTGATAAAGTTAATTTTAATATTTAAAATTATTTAACATTTTGAATTCTGAAAGGTTTTGTCTAATAGCAAATTTAAAAACATAATATTCAAAAAAATATTTTAAGATTCGGGTTGTATTTCGCTCGAGAGACTATACTCTCGCTCGAGCGAAATACCATCCTGATCGATCATAATGTGAAATGATCGATCATAATTGGAGGATATAATAGCGGTTCCTCTGTAACCGCTATCTAAAGTGTATATTAGATAGCGGTTAAGGTTTAACCGCTATTATAAGGTCTGGGTTGTCTTTCGCTTGAGCGACTATATCTCGCTCGAGCGAAATTTAATTATGATCGATCATAACGTGAAATGATCGATCATAATTGGAGGATATAATAGCGGTTCCTCTGTAACCGCTATCTAAAGTGTATATTAGATAGCGGTTAAGGTTTAACCGCTATTATAAGCTCCTTTTAAGAACATTGTTGCGTCTGGGGTGGTCTTTCGCTTGAGCGACTATATCTCGCTCGAGCGAAATTTAATTATGATCGATCATAACGTGAAATGATCGATCATAATGGAGGATATAATAGCGGTTCCTCTGTAACCGCTATCTAAAGTGTATATTAGATAGCGGTTAAGGTTTAACCGCTATTATAAGCTCCTTTTAAGAACATTGTTGCGTCTGGGGTGGTGTTTCGCTTGAGCGACTATATCTCGCTCGAGCGAAATTTGATTTTGATCGATCATAACGTGAAATGATCGATCATAATTGGAGGATATAATAGCGGTTCCTCTGTAACCGCTATCTAAAGTGTATATTAGATAGCGATTAAGGTTTAACCGCTATTATAAGCTCCTTTTAAGAACCTTGTTGCGTTTGGGGTTGTGTTTCGCTTGAGCGACTATATCTCGCTCGAGCGAAATTTGATTTAATAGCGGTTCCTATGTAACCGCTATCTAAAGTGTATAATAGATAGCGGTTAAGGCTTAACCGCTATTAGAAGTGCTGTTATAATAGCGGTTAGGATTTAACCGCTATCATATATTGCAGGGTAACTGCGACTTTTCATTACTTTCATCTCTTTTCTTCGCACCTCAGCGAAGAAACTCTCTCTCTCATCTCCCCCTTTTCCTCGCCTGCATTTCGTCGCAAATCAGTTCAACCAAACGTGTGTGAATGTCATGTTTCTGTCTTCGTGAATAGTATTTCATCGCAAATCAGTTCAAACAAACACAGCGTAAATGTCTTTGTCATTAATCACAGCATGTAAAAAATTCAAATAGGAAAATGATCATCTTACATTTCTCAACATCGTTTCCAATTTCCACCGCATTTTCTTCTTAATTTTTTCATTACATTACTCATTTTTAACAATACTACTCATGAGAGTTTGTTGCAGAATACAGAATTTTTTTCTCCGAAGAATTTTATTTTTTTTAAGTAGATTCTGTAGTCTATGATCAATCTCTGAGAAAGATGTTATACGACGTTGAAGTACAACTAGAACCTATAAAATAGAAATCAACCTATTACTTTAATATTATCTACCTCATATAAAATAAGAGAAAAACACTCTCTCATCACACCCCATGGAAGATTATCGTGGTTCATCCGAATATGGCTGTTTTGGCCAGCACATGCATGCTCAATTTTTATCGAATGATGAGCTGTGCACGTGGGAACATTCGTCAAAAGTTGGATAAAGACAACTGTAATTTATATTAAACAAATTACAGTGGAAGTAAAAGAATCTTCAAATGCCAAAAAAGAATAAGGCTAAATACTCACATAGAAGTTTACATGTGTTGCGATTAATTAGAGAAAAAATAACTTTGTTGGTTATTAATGGAGATATTCAAGAAACAGCAGGCAGAAACATTGTTTTCGTTTCTTAAATTTAATTACAATTACAAGGAGAAGAAATTGTGAGATAAAGGGAAAATTAATAAGAACAAGGATAAACACAACCGATAGGCTTCAATGGCAGGTTGTTATTGGCGTTTTGGTCTTGATGCAATCACTCTTGGATTTTGTTATGCAAGAAGAGCCTTTTTGTTTTTCTTGATAATCCCTCTTGCAAAGGCTCATTCACAAGACTTTTCCTTTGATTACAACTTCAGAAATGCTGCTGATGTAAAACAGCTAAACCTGGTAGGAAATGTTTCTGTTTCAAATTCAGGCATCAAACTCGCAGTGGACTCAAACAATGGTGGTAGTGGGAGTGTTGGGCTAATCACAAGTCCCCAGCATCTTCACATTTGGAACAAGACCTCAAATGAACTAAAGGGCTTTGCTACTCACTTTTCCTTTATGATCAACTCAAACGAGATTTCTCATGGAGACGGGTTGGCTTTCTTCCTGGCAAACCCTAATCACTTAAATGTGAATACTATGGACGAAACAAAGCGTGGAGGCCTTGGCATTGGTCGTGTTCCAGAGACCTTTGTATATCTCTCTGTCCCGTTGAATCAATTTGTGGCAGTGGAGTTTGACACTTTCTCAAACACATGGGACCCAGTGGACACACATGTGGGTGTGAATGTCAATTCAATGAAATCTGAAATAGTTGAGAATTGGGGTTCGAATACTACTGCTTCAGGAGGCCATTATGAGTGTACAATTAAGTACAAATCGGAAGATTATTGTCTAAACGTTTCATTCACTGGATCCATGCTCAATGAAAAACGAGTAACGCAGTACCTTCTTTTTCACATTGATTTGAGAGACTACTTACCAGAGTGGGTTACTGTTGGTATAGCAGCTGCAACTGGAGATGGGTTTGATGAACACACCTTGCTGTCATGGTCATTTAATAAAAAAACAAGTAATGATAAGAAAAACGAGTTAGACAAGACAATGTTGTTGGCGGGAGTAGGAGTTGGTTTAGGTGGGGCTGTGAGTTTCTTTGCGTTGCTCCTCTTCATATTGAGGAAGAGAGGTGCGGGACAAAAGGAAGAAGCCACTTCAGAAACCGCTTCTGATTTGAAGATGGATGGTGAGTTCCAAATGGGCACTGGACCTAAGAAGATCAACTACGAGTTATTGGTATCTGCAACAGATAACTTTCAAGAGAGACACAAGCTGGGGCAAGGTGGTTTTGGTTGTGTTTATAAAGGTTATTTTAAAGACCTAAACTCCTATGCTGCAATAAAGAGGATATCAGCGGCTTCATCACAGGGTTTGAAGCAATATGCAACGGAAGTAAGGATCATTAGCCAACTGAGACATAGAAATTTGGTGAAATTTATAGGGTGGTGCCACAAGAAGAATGATCTCTTTCTGATATACGAGTACATGCCAAATGGTAGCTTATTTTCTCATCTTTTTCGTGGAGAGAGTATCTTGGCGTGGAATGTGAGGTACAACATAGCTCTGGGCTTGGCCTCTGCATTGTTTTACCTACAAGAAGAGTGGGAAAAATGTGTGCTTCATAGAGACATCAAATCATGCAACATAATGTTGGACTCCAATTTCAATGCTAAGCTTGGGGATTTTGGCCTGGCAAGGGTGGTGGTGGATAGTGAGAAAGGGTCACAAACTACAATTGCGGATGAGAAAATGGGTTACCTTGCTCCTGAATATATTAGCACAGGCAAGGCTAGAAAGGAATCTGACATGTTCAGTTTTGGGGTTGTTTTGTTGGAGGTAGCCAGTGGAAGAAAAGCCATTGACCAAAAAGACAAAGAGGGTCAAGTATCACTTGTTGAGTGGGTGTGGGAGCTCTATAGATTTAGAAATCTCCTTGCAGCAGCAGATCCAAACCTTAATGGGGAATTTGATGTTCAGCAAATGGAATGCTTGCTTGTTGTTGGTCTTTGGTCTGCTAATTCAGATAGCAACACAAGGCCCTCCATAAGGCAAGTGATTAAGGTGCTTAACTTTGAAGCTCCTTTTCCTATTCTCCCTCACCATCTATCTCATGATCAGTTATGAACAAAAATTAGTCATCATCTTTTTTCTTATCCAGTTTAGACTTTGTACAGGTCCATTCATTTGTAAATAATGTGTTGTAAATTGTAACATTCTAATAATTCAATTTACATTATAAACCATATGCATATATATTTTCTTATAAACGAATGCATATATACCTGTTTATACGTCCCTATTTACAACTATCACCTATCACTAATGATGTCACTGTCTTCAATGCTTTCCCTCATGCTTTCACACTATTCAATGCTACGGCAATACTCAATGCAACTTTTAAATTTGAATCCACGTTAAAAACGATTCTTTTTCTCCAGGGTACCATTTCTAAAAATAATATATATTATTTATTATTTATTTTTAATATATAATAAATTAATTATTAATATTTTAAATAATTAAAAACGTATTTTTTTTATAAATAACAAAATAATGAACTAGTAATTTAGAATAAATAATGTAAAATTATTATTAATTTAAACAATAATTTAAATTAATATACTTAATATAAAACAGAAAAATAAAACTAATGTTAGTGTTAAATTTTTTGGTAATATGATTTTTAATTATAGTAAATTATATTGATTTTTAATTATAAGACTGTAAAAAATTATTATGATGAGTATTTTATAAATATATTTGAATATAAAAATTAACATAATAATTTATACTATTAATCATATTTTTAATATTATATGAATAATTTAAAAAATTATAAATATATCATTTATATATATATATATATAACGAAAATATATTTTGATTTAATTTTTGTAATATATATTATAATAATAAAACATAATTATTATATATAATATTACATTATTAAAGTCATAATTAATATTAAATAAATATAGATGTTATTGAAAATATATTTATAAAAGTATTATAAATTTTTATTTTCATGATAATATATTATTATTATTATTATTATTATTATTATTATTATTATTATTATTATTATTATCTTTCTTTGTTTTTATTAATATGAATATTAAAGTATATTTGCATGTAGATTTCTCAATCTTTCTCAAATGTAACAAAGTTTATCTAATAGATTTCAAGATAATAATGATTAAAATTGACCTGTTTGAGTTCAAGGGGAAAATGTTAAAATGGTTCACAGGGGAGAGATTGGGTATGGGAAGCACCTAACTTTCTTTGTGGGTCACGAGAATGATCATCCACCAGAGCATTTGGTGGTAAATACATTAGTGGCTTACTAAAGGCAAGGTGAGAACAATTCCTTACTCAAGGAAGAAGTAATTGAAGAGTCTAGAAGATTTTTTTCCAAGTTTATTATTATTATTATTATTATATATATCTTTATCGTAAGAATATTTGTGATTTATCATTACAAGAAGAAACATTTTTAGTGACCGAATTTCGGTTGCAATTAGCAATCGATTTAATTCGGTCGCAATTTAGCTGATCGAAATATGATTTTATTTCATTTTTTATTTATCGACCGAAATAATGACCAGATAGTTTGTGTCACAAAATTTCGATCGTTAAATCGGTGGTTATTTCATACTAAAATAAAAAAACATTTATCTACTTATTTAACGACCAAATTACAAATTAAAATAGTAATCGAATTGAAATCGATCGCTAATAAGAAAATAGCGATCGAATTAAAATCGATCGCTAACTAACATTATTTTTTATTATATTTAAATTTATTTTTTAAAAATAATTTATTTTTTAAAATATACTTTAAAAATAAACTTTGGTATCAATGTTAATAGAACGAAGATTAACTTTAATTTTAAATTACTAAAACAAAAATATTATTAAAAATAAATCAATTTATTAAAAATTTAAATTGTAATAAATTAAGAATGAAGTGATATTAACTATTCAATACATTGTTTAATAAAAGTTTAATAACAAATATTCTTTAATATATTTTTCAATTTAAAATTTCAATTTAAATTAAATTATATTTTAAAATCTTATATTAAAAATATTGAACACATCAAATTATCATATTTTAATTCCTCATTAACTTAATTAATTAAAAATATTACAATTTCAATCAAATTATTACAATTTTATTTTATAATACTTTATTTTTATGTAGTTTTTAAATTTATTGCTTTATTACTATTAATTGTTTAACTATGGTTGTTTTCATATAATTGATATACCAGAAAAAAATTTATATCAAAATATAATTGATATACATTAGAGAATAAATATATTATTTAATTAAATTATTTATAAAAATATATTTATCTTTAGTTGAAATATTTTTTACTTTAAGTATACTAATTAATATTTTTCTTTTTTAACAAAATTAATACAAAGATTAAAAAAAGAATGCTAAAAAAGTTAAAAATTTAAAACTAATCCATTTTATAAATACTAAAAATAAACTATATTTAAATAAATAAAAAATATATTTAAATCTATATTCAACACACCTTTAATTTTGTTCAATAAATACATAGATCACATTTGGAAACATCATCACTAAAATAACTTCAAAATTATTATTTTTTTTTCAAATTCCAGTTTTTCTTTTCAGTTTAAAAAAAAATAGTTAATGTAAGTTAAGGTTGTGCCTTTTTAAAATTTCAACTTTTTTATATATTTGATTTTTATTAAAAAATTTCTAAAATTGGATAAGAAAATGGAGATTTAATTATACTTTTAATAAATTTAAGATAATACTAGTTTTTATTTTTAAATATTTATTTTAATTTTTTAAAACAGAGAAACTATAATTTTAGTTTCTAAATACTAAATTTAATCTCTTAATTTTAGTATTCAAAATTTAAATTATATTTTATTAAATTAAAATAATTACAATTTATTTTTCTATTTTGAGAATTAAAAATATAATTAAACTAAAACTGAAAATATTATAATACATTTTTGAACTCTTTTTTATAATATTTTTATCATTATTATATTTTTCGATTAATTTTTTTTTCTAATTTTTTATAAAGTCAATTTTAATATTTAAACATATGTAAAATTTTGAATTCTGAAACTTTTTTTCTATTAGCAAATTTAAAAACATAATATACAAAAAAATTATTATACATAATTATTTTATCCAAATTTTTAATAATATGATAAGTCATCAAATTTGTTTTTTCTTCTTTCATGACTTTTCTGTTCGATATAAGTGCTTGAATTTATAAAAAAAATTATTTACAAAATTCACTTCTCTAATTTCTATCTTCATATTTTTTAACTATTTTTTTTTAATTATGAAGGACAAGATTGGTACACACACTTGAATATATTATAAATGAATAATATTTGTTCATTCTAGTTTTTTTTCCTCAAACTATAATTTTATTATTTTTATTTTAAAACATATTTTATATTTTTTTAAATTAATAATTTTAGTCTAGTCATCTAAATCTTTGATGTGATGATTCTAATTAATTGATATTATCAAATAATTTTATTTGATTTGTTATAGTAAAAATCATCAAAGTAAATATTAAAATAATATTAATTACTTTAAATTATAAGAAAATAAATAATAAAAATAAAAAATAAATTTGAAGTTAAAAAATACATAAAAATAAAATATAAAAAAAGAAATAAATACTTGTCTCGAAATAATATAAAACAAATTTAATGATGGATTAAAATAGAACAACATTTATAAGAGACTATTTATTTTTATTTATGATGGATCAAAAGTGGAAATACATTTTAATTTATAATTTTATTTATGAAACACATTTAAATTTATAATTAACGAAAATAATGAAAATCTTAATATAACATAATACTTTTAGTAATGTATTTTTTTATAAATTTAAATTTACTTTTTTTTGTTAAACAAATGACATCTAGAGGGGGTGAATAGATGCACAAATTAAAATAGATGTCAAATTAAAAATTTATTTGTGAGTCAATAAATTTGTTTGAACACAGATAAAGCGGAAGCAATAATATAATCAGGAAAGGAGACAGAGATAAGAGAAAAAGAAGAGCACACAAATATTTATACTGGTTCAGGTATAGTTAACCCTACATCCAATTCCCAGTCAACTCTTAACACAAGAGTGATTCCCCATTCACTATCTTTCAAATTTAGTTTACAAATTACAATCAACTCAGCAGAAGAACCAGTAAAAAGTAAACTAATTAAAAAGACAATCACCTTCTTAGAAACCCACTAAGGATGAACACCTCCCTAGAATCCCACTAGGGATGACCACCTCCTCTGAACAAATCAAAGGATGAAAAACACCTCCTTAGAATCTCACTAAGGATGAACACCTCCCTAGAATCACACTAGGGATGAAAACCTCCTTTGAACAAATCAAATGATGAAAACACCTCCTTTGCCACCAATACACAAAGGATGAAGGTAATAAAAATAAAAACAGACACACCTGAGTAATTGAGACAACAAATTGTAGAAGTCTGTAGAATGTCAATCTCCAAGAACAAGTGTGATTAACAATGAAAGCATAAAAGACAGTGGAGAAGAGGGTTTTCTCAAAAGGTGTAAAATATATTTATTGTCTTACTCATAATTCTTATCTCAAAACTGATTGAATGTAAATTGTATTTTCGAATTCTGTAATTGTGTGTTTTTTATTTTTCATCAAAACTTAATTAATAGAAAAATAGCATCAGAAAATGGCCATTGGACATTAATAATATCATAGAGAAAATCAGGATGTATTAAAAAATATTTATTCTTTAAAACGGATATATTTTTTAAATTTGAATTGTCATAATTGATTATATTACTAGTATAATCAGTCATGATAGAGAAAACCATTTTCTATTTCTGATGCATCATAATTAATTATGATAGAGAAAAATATCACGTTATAAATTTTATCACACTTGTGTTTTGGAGGCTTATACATAATATTACTTCATCAACTTGTACCTCCATATCCATTATTCTAAGACTCTATATAGTCTTCAGGAATCATCTTGGACTTGCTTGAATCATCATCTTTATCAAAAACATATCTTGGGCATGTAGGGAAATGTTTCACATTTTCACGAACGTC